TTCGCAGAAAGTATAATTTAACTATCTGAGAGAATTGAGAAATTAAAAAAAAACCTTTAAATATGAGAGATTTCACATAGCTAGGACCTAACTTCTTCATGACAATTTATGTCTATTCATCCATCTATTCTGTGGTGGGAAGATGTAGGTTCATTGCGCTATGTCACATTGTCATCAAGATTAGAGTAGTGATATATGTATTTATTAGTAAACTATTCCAAATAAATGCTGAAGTATCCAAAATGCATTAAAATTACACTAAGTGGCAAAATCAATTCCAGTGAGTTGAGCAGAAACAGAGTTCCTGTACATGGGTCTTAAAGCAGAGACAGGGTTCATATTAAATGTGCAATATCATAGTCTGCTAGAGATAATATGCAAATTATTACAAGTTGCTAGGGCTAATGATATTGAGTTTAAATTTTATATAACTATTAAGAAATTTCAAAGTATTTTTAAAAACTGCTCTGGGAGATAGGTGTTATGATCATTTGTGTTTTATAGAGGAAACAAGTTTAGCCAGGTTAAGTGGCTTACCCCAAATCCTGCAGTTGGCACTACCCTGGCCTGAGCTCACCACTTCGTGGTGTGAGCTGGTAACCCTGCTGTAATTGTCTTCATTCTCTGGAGTCAGGCCTGGCTGATGATAGAGTCAATGAGAGCAAAAGGTAAGGGAGAATTTATCTTCCTCTTGATGGAAAAATAAAAGTTCATTAAAGATATTATATAAACTGATGTTCCCTGAAAAATTATCTAACAATGTGGTTCCTGAATAGTCCTCTAAACTAACTTTAGTTTTAGAATTTAAGATAAACTTTGTAATCACAAACTGTTTTCAGTAGGATGTATTAAGATAAAATTTAATATTTAGATGGTCCATTTATTTCTTTAAAAATATAATATATAATATATAATAAATAATAAAATATAATATATAATAACAGGAAAGAGGTCTATTCAAGGATTGATAATTATACCTATAGTCCTATTTGGTAAAGAGACCAGGTAGTATAATGCTTAACACTTACTAAAAAAAATAACAAATAAAAGCAAACGGCAAAACCATGGACATAAATGCTATAATGAGAGGAAAGGCAGGATGGAGGAGACTTTAGCAAAAAGTATAGGAAAGCCCTGTTTGGAGGTTGTGGGACCATTGAGAGGACTGGAGGCGCAGGTCTTCTGCCCTGTGCAAATCTGCTACCCCACCCATCAAAGGTTTCTACTGACTTAGCATTGAAGGAGTGGGCAGGGTAAGAGAGCAGCTCAAAAAAAGAGTAAGTGTCAAAGGGAAGAGGCACACCCCAACTGAAATTCAAACTAGCTAAGAGCGAACCTATCAGTCAGGTATTTTTAGATCAACCCACAGCTAGTTTACTGTTTGAATGTGGGTTTCTGGCCAACAAAATTGAACTGCTTTAAGCACATATGAAATTTGAAACTAATTTCCAACTCCCAAAATCACTGGTCAAAATGGGAGGAGGAAGAAATAAAACAGAGCATATAAAAAAGCTTCAAATATTAGGAATTTAAAAGAGTGGAGGCTTGAAGAGTCACTGAGACTCTTGAAAAACAAACAAACGACAGTTCTAACTATGTACAGGAAGCTATCTCCAAGTGTGGTCTGAGGTCTGGTGGCATCAGCATCATTGGGCTGTTCAGAAGGCATTCTCAAGTTCTGAGAATGAGAATTATTAATTCTGGGTACAGCAGTCTGTTTTTAACAAGGTCTCCAGAAGATTCTGTTGTATACTAAAATTTGCAAAGCATGGATTTAGACCATCATTAGCAAACTGCAGATTACAATCCATTAGTGTGGTGTAAAATCAATTCAGTAGGCGGTGGACAGCATTTTACAAAAGTGAACTAGAGCAGAAAATAGAGGGCATCCTGTAGCACGGATGTGATCTCATTAGACTTGCTTCAGCTCTATATGTGTGTCTACACCCGTGTGTGCTGATGTGGTGATGAAGCAGCACTTTTAATTTTTGAAGAACTTGGTAGGGCATAATAAAGAAGCTACAAATTTTAAATGAAGTAAGAATTGCTCGGTTGACAATAAAACAAACAGACAACTTAATGTGGCTTTCTGTTTGGACAGAGATTAAAGAGAGAGGAAAAAAGGCCAAAAAAGAACATGGCAGGTCAAAGTTTTCTAACTCCAGAATTCTTATGGAGAAAGAAACAAAAAGGCCCACCCAGAGTGGAAACAGGAGGGATGTCAACCAGAAGGAAGATGTCAAGGAAGATAAGGACAAGATAAGGTCATGTTTGACCTTCGAGAAACAATCATTTTAAGTAGGCTATTCATTCAAAGATCATTGATTGTACCATCCCAGGTGCCAGGCACCCTTAGACACTGAGGGTACAGATGTGAGGCCTAGAATGGACCCCTTTGTTCAGTGACATGCAAGATCAATAATTATAATAACAATAATAGAAGAAATGGTAATAACATGTTAGCATGATTAGTGTTGTGAAGGAAGTGTTAACAAAGAGTTAAGTCAGTCTATGATGCCGGGGTTGGGAATAGGGTGACAGGGGCTGTCCATATGGAGAAAACATTCAGTAGAAATGATGACCACGTCTTAACATGGCAATCTATTTTGAAACTAAAAAGTGAGTTTTCTAGATCAGTAGTCCTTAAACATAGTTATGAGGGGATTTTCCCTAGTTAGGAAAAATGTTGAGTGCATTACACAACAACCAGTTGTGTAAAAAATTATTTTAACATGCAACTAAGTTTGAATGTGATGAAGCAAAATCTAAACCTAGATATGACTAAGAGTCATTGCATTTTATTGTTAAAACCTTTCCATTTAATAGTTGTAACCACTGAAGGGGACTTACTCCATATTCAGTTATCTAAACTTTTAAAATGCATGTATGAGTGTGAAACTCTTTAACCATTGTTAGCTTCTTAAAGACTTGTAGAAGTCTTTTACTCCTTTTAAATCATAGTGTTTACTTTTCTGTATTTCTCTCTTCCACAATGGTAACAAATTCCTGCTGAACCAGAGTTTTACACCAAAAGCCTTCTTTAATAAAAGTCAAGTCAGATCAAGTAACTAAACACCTTCTTGAATTAGAACTTGTCATTCTGGTTACCTTTGACCTTTCAAACAAAGACTGGGTTTAGTAAACTCATATAAAGGATGAAAAAATTTTAGATTTGCATTGAGTAGCTTTGTTTTTCCAGTGATAAATAGCTATGCAATTGTGTGTATAAATATACATATATTCTTCACTTTTGTTTAAAAAGTTTATTCTCATTCTTGGATGAGTGAAAAAAATCATGACATAAATGACTCAAAGTAAATAAGGAAAAAATGAGAGCAGGTATACATATTTGTAGTTGAAAAAAATTTGCTTTCCACACAAAGGCCACTTCAGCTGCTAATTTTCAAGTTAGGATGGACAGACCAAGCTGTTGTTCACTGCATTTCCAGACGACTCACTGTCACCAAGATAACACACCACTGTTAGGAAAGGATTGAGAATATTAAATTCCAATTTAGGCAAATTAAAGGATAAGCTGCAGATGCTCTAGGGATTTAATACAAATATTTCAAGTAAGGAAACTTAAATCCAAAAAGACAAGACAGTTTTGGTCCCAGTCCAAATTTCAAATGCAATTTTCTCTGTATTATATATAGTTTTTGTCCTACAACTCAGGGTCAGGCGGGGGTGTTTCATGGGCTAGGCATATGTGTCTGTTGGTTTCTGCCTGCTTGGTTCTTTTGTCTTCGCTGTTGTCAGTCTTTTACCATCAGCACCGCTGAGCTCCTGATCTTTTCATTTAAAACACTCAGACTAACACCAACGAGGAGGGTAACACCCACACTCAACTGAATGGCTTGGGGCACAGCCCCAGCCTGGAAAAGGTGAAGGGCACACCCGGTCTTCTCCAGCGTCCGATGGCCACGTGCGGGAGGCGGGGCCGCCACTGGTTGGACGCCAGAGGGACTCGATCCTTCCAATCGGCGTAGGCCCCTGCGGTGGAGGTGGGGGCGCGCCCGGGAGGGGGGCGGAGCCACAGGCCTATCCATCACCCAATACGCGGGTGGCAGCACCTACCCAACCCCGGTACCTTAGCGGGGCGGAGCCGGGGTGGGAAGGCCGAGTCTGGGGAGGCGGGGCAAGGCCCCGGGGAGGCGGGGCAAAGCCCCGGGGAGCCAATCGGCCGGACGGTGCGAGGGGGCGAGGGCGGGGTCACGAGGTGCGACCCAAACACAGGGGCCTCGGCGCGCCCGGGAGCCGCGCGGCTCCGTGGGCTTCCGGTGCGAGGGCCGGGGAACCTCCCCCCCAGTTAGAACCCCTACCTAGAGCTTCAGACGCCCCCCTCGCCGCCGGCGCCCCTCCTTCGCGGGGGGGGGGGAGGGAGGAAGGGAGCGCGGCGACGGTTGCCGGGAAGCGCGCGCCGCCCCTCCCGCCCCTCCAGCCCCTCCTCCTCTCACGCGCCACCCGTTTTCCCCCTTTCTCCGTTAATAACAGCCGGGGGGCGGGGGGCGGGGGGAAGGTGGCCCCGGCGGAGGCTGGGCGGGCGCCTCCCACTCCCCCGCGAGCCGCCGCGGGAGTACCAGGATGGCGGCGGTAGCAGTGGCCGCCCGGGAGGAGGCGGTGCCGAGGCCCGGGGCGCAGAGCGCAGCGGTGGAGGCGCAGAGCGGCAGCGGCCCGTCGCGGCGCACTAGAACCGAAACCAGCGGCAGCCGCGCAGCCACCTGAGCCGCTCCGCGCGCCGGAGCCCGCGAGTGGCGCCCGCCGGGGCCGGGACCCCCTTCCTCCGCGCGTCTCCTCCGTTCCCGCGCCCCCGCCGGCTCGCCCGCCCCGAAAAGAGCTCGCCGGACGCCCCTCGGGGCACCGGGCGGCGGCCCTGGACGTGCGGACTCGCCTCTGGGCCGGCCGCGGCACCTCGGCCCTGCCCTCTCGCTGCGGCGCTCGCTCCAACCCACCCGGCGCTCCGGGCGCTGCGCGCGGGCCGGGCCCCGGGCAGGGCGGCCATGGGCGCCAAGCAGAGCGGTCCGGCCGCTGCTAACGGCCGCACCCGGGCGTACTCGGGCTCAGATTTACCTTCCAGCAGCGGCGGAGGGGCCAACGGGACCGCGGGGCGGCGGCGGCGGCGGGGCGCGGGCCTCGGCCGCGGGGAGGTTTCCGGCTCAGGTGCCCGGCGCGCACCAGCCCAGCGCCTCGGGCGGCGCCGCGGCGGCCTCGGCGGCCCCGCGCAGCCGCTCCCTCGGCGGGGCCGTGGGGACCGTGGCGTCGGGGGCCCGCGCGGCGCAGTCCTCCTTCAACATCCCCAACAGCAGCAGCGGCCCGTACGGCTCGCAGGACTCCGTCCACAGCAGCCCCGAGGACGGCGGCGGCGGCAGGGACCGGCCGGCGGGCGGGGGCCCGGGCGGGCCGCGCCTGGTGATCGGCTCCTTACCAGCTCACCTCTCGCCGCACTTGTTTGGAGGTACGGCCCCCTCCCTCCCGGGCGCCCCCCCTCCCCGGCTCCCGGCCCCCGGCCCCCGGCGGGCGGCACGTGGGCCGCGCTGCTTCTGACCCTGCTGCTTTTCTCCTTCAGCCTGGGCGCGGGGGGATTGCCGCGCCGCCGGCTGGAGGAAAAATCGCCTCCCCAGCCCCGCGGCGCCGCTGCCGCTGCCCCTTGTGTTTGGGTTTTTGAACGCCGCGTGCTCGCTCACCTCCTAGCGACTCCCCAGCGGAGAAGGTCCTCGCTTTCCGCAGGAGGCGAAGGGAGCAAATGCTGTTTTTAAAACAAACCGGCGCGACGCGGTGCTTGCGGCTGTTATCAGGAAGCCTAGAAGATCCGTTGCTGAAATGTAGTTGTATCTGGGGACTCGAGGGGTGAGCCGTGTTTAAGGGCCAGATCCGTGTGTCTAAAATTAGCACGAGCACTTGAAAAAGGAGGGCGCAGTTAGTCTCTTTTGCACCGACTTAATATAAGACGCCAATTCTGAAGTGCTGTGTAAATAGTCCTGCCTGCCTCGTATAGTTTAATTGGATGAATGTGCTGATGGAAAGTGTGTCTTTAACCCAAGTAAAGGGCTGCTTTAGATGGTGGTTAATGTGACTTCTGCTTAATTTGGACAGAGCATTTGAAAATTGAAAACAATGTAAGGAGAGAAAGTAAAACTTATTACAGCTCTGACTGCAAGATGCAGTAAGAGCCCTAGGTGCTTTTGAAAATCAGTGTTTACTGGAGTTCTGAGGTCGCTTGTGCAAAGTGGAAAATTTTAATAGCAAGATGTTGTGTGTTCATGTAAAAACAAGAGGAAGGGTGCGCTTGATGTGAGGAAAAGTAATCTGAGCGCTTTAGTTTTATGGTGATCTACCCACTTTGCTTGAAAATGGTTTATAGTAAATGAATGGAGACACTTCCACCCCCATGCTCTCCTAGTTCAATCAAAGAAATAGAAGTTAAATCTGGCCAGAGATTTAACTTCTGTCTGCAGAAGATAAATATTCCATATCATTGCATTATGTCTGCTGATACTAGATAAATTTGTAGTTGAGTACACATAGTGAGAACACCATCTCCGTTTTTGTGCTCCTTTTGCTCATGTTTATAAATGTGAGAAATTTGAGTGGGGAGTTGGTAAAGTGGAGTATTTAGTGATGTCATTTAGCTGTTGGGATGTTCTCTACTGTCGGTCACCGTGCAAATTCAAAATGGGAATGTTTCGTGTTTTCCATCGTCTCAGTACTTCTTTGCACATTCAATAAAGAACAATTTAATTACCTTACTTGCTGTAATTTTGCTATGTAAATAAAAATAGTAAGGTTTCATAAAATGGGGCTTTCTTTCAAGAATCTTGTTTTCGAGAAAAACAGCTAGTAGCCGTCCTTATTGTGGTTAATCACAACTAACATAGATGAAGGTGCTGTAGTCACCACATCAAGAAATAACAAGACAGTTCTCTGGGAATGGGGAATGAGAGCAAGAATAAGTTAGTTTTTAAAAGTATCTTTAAAATGAAAACTTGCATTTAGCAGTATGATCATCAAAAAATATTTAAAAGCTTACTAATGATGGGGATAGGAAGGGACTTGTCAAATTAATCTTATTTTTTTTAATACACTGATGACTGTTTTCATTGATTTTCTTAAAGTGCTGATAATTTCCTTTAACAAAGATTTGTGTACTTTGTGGGTTTATTTTCTTAAAATATGTTCCATTTAACGGGGGCAATTAGTTGAGCCTTCATTCATAGTAAATTAACAAATGACAACTAATTACTGAAAGTTGGCAAGGAAAAGCATCTTTTTTCTCACCATATTTCTTAGATTTTTGTACTTAATTTATCTTTTTAGTACTTTGGGGAGTTAGGATGATTGGGCCAGTAGCAGCATGATGACACCAAAATTAGAGGTCTGGCAAGTCTAGCACGATGACACCAACTTGTGGCAGTCTTCCTTTACCTGATCTCTGGAGAGAATTGGACCCTATTGTATGCAAGAGGGCATCTATTGTATGCAAAAATGAACGTTTTTCTTCTATGCATTTACAATGGTTTTAGTTGTGGATCTTAGAAAATTTGAGAAATAGTCACCCTGGTTGTCTTCTGTGTTTGGTGGTACAGATGAGAAAACCCAGTTCAGAAAAATTGAGAGGGGATCAGAGAAATTACCTTTTTCTGTTCTATGTTGGGATTAGATCAAAGTGCGGGGTACCTTAAAGCAGAGTGCACTTTTTAGTGGCATTTGCTTTAATAAGATATTAACCTACATTTCAGTAGATGGGGAAAGAAACTTAATTAGAGAAATCTGTTTCTCACCATCCTGAAATTTAGGGAGCTAGATGGTGAATATAATTATTTAACAATTACACTTGATATTGCACATCAACTTTTTTAGTACTTACAGTATTAATGCATTTATTCAGTTGCAAATTCTACAAATGTTTGGGCAGATACAAAGTAACTATCTGAAAATTGAGAAAGGGACTGTTTTTCAATTTTCAATGGAAAGTTGTAACTAATTTTGTGAAACAGACTTTAATTGTTGTTTATATGTTAACCTCTTCTAATTAAAAAAATGACACTAATAAGATACAAAATGATTCTCATGTGGGCTTTTGTAATTTTGTAGAAAAGAAAAACCTACCCAGTAAAAAAAATTAGATGTCTCCCAAGTCTAATTGTTATTCATGCCATCATAATTATCACATTGAATGAGTTTTGTGTTGGCTTTGTGGTTTACTCTTTTGGGAATATATATTCTGGAAATATGCATTCTGATGTCTAGAGACAGAAGAGAACCAGAGAGGTGCCTAATCTAGATATTTCACTTTACAGAAATATCCTGGAATTGAGTTGTTGAGTATCAGAATATGATTTAATCCATACAGGAGTTTTTAGGTGAAGTAGGTCTTTCTTGGTTTTTTTATTCTTTTCAGACTACTAATTTAGTACTATTTAAGTGAACAGAAGCCTTTTTTTGTCTATCACCTTTGTTGAAAACTGGTCTTGAAGGATATAGTATAAAATTTTAAAAATATTGGGAATCTTGACTTTATATCTGTAATTTTCTAATACCAGGTTGCTAATGCTCATGGAAACAATTATGGATAAAATTATCTTTAATGGTCCAGCAAGGATGGGGGAGATGAATTGAACTATAAAAATACACCAATGGGTGGAGACTATTTCTGAAGAAATCATAAGGAATTCTCGGATATCCATAAATCCGGAAGTGAAAATGTAAAATGAATTGATCTAGACAGGTAACTGGTGGTACTGGATTGCTTTTAGCCTCCTGCTAATTGGCTTGAGTTTATTTGGGTGTGGTGTACCCAGGAGTATTTCAGTAGTGTGATTGTAATTCAGGTGCCTCCTGTTTTTTAAGGAAACATTCCTGCTTATATTGCAGGTGTGTGGGTTATCTACTAAAACTGAGTATGTGAAGTGAAATTGTATTTCTAGGCAGATTTCTCTTAATCTTCAAAACAGATGTGTGTTTTTAAAGTGTTAGTTTATTTTCATTAATTAACCACTGTTGAAATGTTCTCATTCATTACTTTTTAAGTTTCTAGTGCCTACATGTTTGAATTGAGCTGTTGTGGTTAATCTACATCCTGTTTATGTTTTTTAATTCAATTGAAGATCTTTATGGGGCATGGCAAAAGAGAACTGTCTGCTGCCTAAGTATGACATTTTTTTTTTTTTTTAAAGATTTATTTATTGATTGATTGATACAAGCACTGGGTGTACAGTCAGAAGCGTGGGAGGGTGAGAGAATTCACCAGAGCCAGAGGGGGGAGCAGAGCAGGCAGAAGGACCGAAGGACACTGCTGAGGGGAGCAGCGGGCGGCAGGAGAGGTCTGCGCGCCATGCGGGACCCTCCTCTGGTGGCCGGGGAGCAGCCGGGGATCGAACCGGCGCCGCAAAGGCTGCGGGCAGCTTCGCAACCCAGCGCTCAACCGCTGCGCCACCGGGGAGGCCCAGTATGACATTTTTTAACCACACCCCTACTAGTCTCTCCTCCCAGCCGTCTGGGGAAAAAAAAAAGAATTCTGGTAGTTAATGTTTGTAATCTCACCATATGAGATACCTTGATGGCATGCTTGTGTTATGTCTACATGTGGCCCCAGTCATGGAAATTTCTGCCTCGGGAATATTTTGAAAGTTTTCTTGACTTCAGGGTGGAAGGCGGGCTGGGGGAAGTGAGCAGTGTTTTATGTTGTACTGGGTAGCATCTGATCTGAGAGCTGCTTGTTCTAAATACCTGACCAAGATACTTTAGATACTTTGCAAAGTCAATAGCAAGTTTGTTCTTTTACTAACTGGTAATGTCTCCAAGTCCTCCTACCCCCTCCAATTTCATTTCTCTACTGAGTAACTAGTACATAGATTTTTACTTGTTTCGGGGTTACTTATATCATTAATTAGATACCAGCTTTCCCCATATTTGTTACCTATCTTGTATTGTACTTATTTGGTACATATACAGTGGGTATATTAATAAATGAATTAGAAGAAAGAAGTATACAAACTACTTTATGTAGCACAGCTCCTTATAAATGTTTTAATTTCGTGTATACTTGACTGGCATTGACTAATGAGTTGTTTGTTTCACACCTAGTGATTAGAAATTGGGGGACATATGCCCTTTGTATCAACAAAGAGTTTGGAAATACCTTAAATTCTGAATGTATTCATTTTCTTTGCCATTTATGAAAAGAATTATTACAAGTTTAGCTACCCAGAGGAGTCCATAATCTTAGTTTCTATGGATCAGGAGACTGAGCTTAAGTTAGCTGGGGTCTCTGCAATCCTGCAGTCAAAGTATTGACCAAGACCGGGTTCTTTATCTAGAATCAACTGGACAAGGATCTGCTTCTAGGCTTCCTAAGGTGGGTGGCCGAATTTCATGGTGGTTCAGCTCCAGGCAGTCTGCTTCTTCAAAACCAACAAAGAAGAGACTCTTAACAAGAAGGGCTGGTGCTACACTGTT